CATAAAAAGACTAGAACAGATGGGCAGGGACGTCTTCTTAGAGGAAGTCTTTGAGTATTCATTTATTCAACAACTATGTAGTGAATGCCACTTATGTGTCTATACTCTGTCTATACCACAGAGACTACAAAGTGAATCATTGTGGCACTTTCATCCTGAGAGTGTTTCAGTCAGCTTAGGCTAAGTTATGTTGTGGTGACAAACAAACCCCAAATATTGGTAGCTTATGACAATGAAGGTTTATTTTTAGCTCATGTTATCTATTCATTGCTGGTAGCAGAGAGAAGAGAGATAGTAGAACCATACATTGGTTCTAAAGTTTCTGCTCTGGGGTGGCATGAGTCTCTTCCACCTACATTTTATTTGACAGGATGAGTCACGTGACCAAGTTTGACGTCAGTGCATCAGGGATACATAATCCTCCCACGGAGAAGGGCAATGAATATTTTGACCAATAATCATACTCTACTATATGTCTGAGTAAAGGCTAATAACTCAGTCTGCCTAGAATGTATGGGATAAGGGTGGCTACAACAATAAAAAGATTAAGAAGTCAAGGAGAAGCGACATCGTGTGGGGCCTTGGGTACCAGGCTGAAGAGTTTGGGTCCCATCGAGTGTCAGTGGAGAGCCACTGAAGATATGAAGAGTTCTGTTGAGTTTTAAGCAAAGGAGAGCAAGGTCTTATTTATGTTTTAGAAAAATCATTTCAGTAGCTTCAGGAAAAGGCTGGCCTAGGGGTGGGGGTATTGAGGCCAGAAATAAGAAAACAAACTGAAAAGTTGTGAGAATACCACAGTAGAGCGAATGAAGAATGCTCAAACTAAAGTTGGAACAGTAAAGAAGGAGAGGGCTTCTAGAGCTGTTAGGAACAGAATCAAGGGAATTCTTTGGCCCATTGTTCAACAGATATTTTAGAAACAAAGAATGAATGAGACTGGGCATGGTGGCTTATGCCTGTAATCCCAGCAGTTTGGTAGACCAAGGTGTGTAGATCACTTGCGGCCAGGAGTTGGAGACCAGCCTGGCCAACATGGCAAAACCTCGTCTCTACTAAAAATATAAAAATTACAGGTGCATGCCTGTAATTCCAGCTACTCAGGAGGCTGAGGCATAAGAATCGCTTGAACCTGGGAGGTGGAGGCTGCAGTGAGCCAAGATCACATCACTGCACTCCAGCCTGGGTGATGGAGTGAGACTCTGTCTCAAAAAA